AGCTGAAATGGATAGTACTCTGCAAAATATAACAGGTTCAGTTTAGTCTTCCACAGTGAGTGGAAGTTGGCAAGTAAAAATGGATAAAAAGGACAGGATTAAAAGTATTTTCACATCAGGATAAAGTCTGTGGCAACTGAAGTGATGGCTTCTGGTTTACATAATGCATCTTCCATGTTTGCAAGGCTAATGGAGGCAGTACTTTACAGCATCCTTCTGCACTTTTCCTGTACTTAAAGGAAATCCTGGTGCAGGCTAAAACCTTTGAACAAGAACTGTTACATTTACAAATAGTCTGTAATCAGTTTAGGGATAACAGTGTGAAATCAAACCCACAGACACAGGCTTTTGCTTAAGAAAGAGATAATTTATTTTGGGCACAGAATTTGTGAAGAAAGAATTTCAACCATCATTAGAGAGTGTTAAAGGCTATACTGCACTGGCCTGCTTGCTGGATACTCACAAATATTCACAATTTTGTAAGATTCCGTCTCTGTTATGGGCAGGCTATTTACAGGTTTTCAATATTACAAAACCACTGCATAGGTTAGGGGAGAAAAGGATGCCATTGCAGTAAGCAGGAAAGTATGCTTCAGATTTATTTCAGTTAGAAAAATCTCTTTTGACAGCTTTTGCTTTGATCTAAAATTACTTCTAAAATGCCTTTCACTTTCAACAAAACTTGTCTCTTCTGGTCAGGGGGGTCTCTTGACACAACGCTCAGGTTTTGGCAAAGTCATAGCTTATTAAATCAGGAACTATTGTATGTCCTCCAAAGGAATCCTGATCATTGTTAAATCTATATGACATCATTGTTTGTAGGTGGGCAAAATCTAGAGTTCCTGACAGAATACACAATTGTAACATTGTTTATTAAAGACTGTTTTATGGTAGATTAAACTGATACAAATTAGTGTGGCTGCGATCCCACCCTCCATCTTGCCATGTATCTGTTTCCCTGCTGTATTGGCACTGGCCCTTGTGTGTGTGGGCAGTTGAGCTTTTTCACTGTGCTGATCTGGGAAAAAACTAGTAACTCTCTCTGTGGGGCTCAATTTTTGCTTTTTAGAACCTTGAACTAACCCACCGCTCACTTGCAAAAACACCAGTAACAGCGCAAGGGGTCAGGAACACAGAAGCATGGAGTGGAGGGAAGGAGCCACTATGTTTAACTTCAAAGTTGCAAAGTTGCCTGAAGGTATCCGTATAGGCAATTAAGGTATCTTTGCAATAAGTTCCTGATGAGGCTGGGTGAATTATCACATTCTAATGTGATCACATAAACCTGGCTCAACACATCCATGAAGAGATGACAGCCTTCTCACTTTCATAATTTACCAAACTGTGAGAGTTCCTGGCTCTCCCACTGAGAAAATGAACACACAGCCAAAAAGAAGTGGATATAAGTGAAAAAATGTCTAACAAAAATCTCTGTGGTTGGGAAATACAGCCATATTAGAACCTTTTGCAGTATCACAGTAAAGCTTTGGTTGCTAAAACTGGGGATTAAAAATGCAATAATGTATGCAAGATGGAAAAAAATGATGACTATTTGTACAGCTATTAGCTCTTTGAACCAGATACAGAGGATACATTAGCTATTTTGTTATAGTTTTCAATGCTGAATGAGGTCTTATATTTGCAAATCCCATTGGCAACTCCAGAGACTGTTGGGTAAAATGAAAAATTGATACAGAAAACTAATGCATGAATATGAAGCCTGCAACACAAAAAGAAATTTTAAAAATCCCCTTTCAATAAGAATATTTCCTACCAAGCCTAATAGGGTACATTGCTTGGATGTGCTTGTGCCTGTAACTGAGTCAGAATCAGGTAATCGTCTGTTTGTAGCCGTGAGCTACATCATGCAGGGGCTGGAGAGCTCTTATCTGCTCAGCTGCCACAAAGCTCTGCAGCAATGGACATCCTTGGAAATGACATCTTCAGCAAAACCCTGGGTTACAAATGAGTGATGTATAAACCAAGAACACATTTTCAATGTAGTTTCTATATTGTAAGTTCTAGAGGAGGAGGCCTAGGCTTCTTTCTAATCCTATGAGGAAGGAAACAATCTGGGACCATAAAGTGGATAAACTTTGGAAGGCAACCTATGAAATAAGGGTCTGAATGAAACAGGGCTGCACAGGTAAGTGCAAGAATGCATAGAATTATGCCGCTGGACATAACCAGGGCTATTCATAAGGATGTAACCCCTGATGTAAGAATGGAGGTGGCATTTCTGAATTCTCAGCAACAGAAAAAGTAATAATGGAAACTGCCAAAGATGGTTTCTCTGCCAAACTAGCCACTCCAGCCAGGCAGCAGACTTCACAGAAACAACAGTCATTTCTGCACTGAAAGAAGTCCCTCCTAGAAGATTTAGAAAATGACTTCTCTGTACAATGTTCTCCTTTAGCTCAGGGCAAATGAGGGAGCAGGTAAATGGTTAAGACAAGTTAGACAATAGGAGGCACACATTAAACCCCAGGCCATAAGTAAAACTATGCAAGAGATGTACGGCAGAAGGTTTTCACCTTGTGAACTGACTTGAGAACCAATAGACACAGACAGTGGTGGTAGATGGAGTCCAATTATACGCCAGGGTGTGAACTTAGTCTGGGTTTACTCCCATCCCAGCAGCCAGCTGCTGCTGAAAGGGAGGCCTTGCTCTCCTTCCTGCCCCTAGCTATGAACTCCTCCCACCACTTTCCCTGTATCACTTCTGACATTTTTATGACTGCACAGCAAGTCTGTTTAGAGTATTAAACCAGTAGGAAAATTAAAAGATGGGAAACAGTTTTCTGTTGGGTCAGCCTTGCTGATGTTGCTCACCTTATGTTAAAATGAACGGCACTGCTTGCACAGGACAGTACAGGGAGAGACCCCACCTGGAGAAGGGTAGTGAGACCACCATTTCAGACTGCTGTTAGATTGGCTGTGTTATAAACTACATTTTGGAAGAGATCTAAGAGGCGGAAATGCCGTAAAACAAGACAAAGTAAATACAAGGAAACCATTGACACTTTCATAGGAGCCTGCACGAACACCAGAAAATGCCTAGGGAGAGCTGCTTGAGAGCAGTATTGTCTGGAAGTTGCTTGAAATACATACAAGGAAAGTATTGCCTATTTTCTGCTGTGTTAAGAGACGTATGATTTTGCTAGCAGCCTGAGTGCACAAATAGGGCTTAATAATCCTGGCCAGCTTCACCTGGGGCCTTCACTCACACTCCCTGTCCGTATGCTGGACACTAGCTGGTGAGGCCCCTGCCCTGTTGGCCATGCTACTGTGCTTGGCTCCCCATCCTTCAGTGAGCAGCTGGCCCTTGCTGTGCCCTGGGAGTCAGCCCAGACAGGCCCTGAAGGCCCAGGTCTGAGCTTAAAAGGGGGTCCTGGCCCCCAAGGGCAGGGAAGGTGGCCAGGGTCTGTTAGTGCTCCTGGGCTCTGAGCACTTGGCTCCTCATCCCTGTCACCAACGTCCTTTTAACCAAGGCAACCATGAAACTCTGAACCAGTTAACAACTGAGAAGAAAAAAGAAGTATTTAATATAAGCAATATTTAAATAGCAAGACTTGATATAAGAATTTTAAGCAAGATCATAATACTGCAGTCAGGGTAATGCAGGGTTAGTGCACTGTGATTGCTCAATCTTTGGCTAGGCTAGCATGGGTACAGAGGTAAAGTTGGCAACTGTGCAAGCTAACTCACAAACACCTCAGAGATAGCACTTTTGTTACTCCCTGATCCCGTTTGTTTCCGAGCTGTAAAGCTGTTTATTGCTTGCAGCTAACATGTTTCACACAGCTGTGGTTTAAATTCATCGCTAGTACATTTAAGCTAGAAATGACCAGAGTAATAGATGTGGATTTTGGACTACAGCATTTAATGGAGGGCCTTCTGAATGCGCACAAGGGAGTGAACAGATCCCAAAGTCAGAGGGTACTATCTACCCAAAAAGGCCCTTCTTAAGGCACTTTTGCTGGTCTGGGGGAAGGTACATGATACAGTTCTAAAAGTAACTAAATAACAGCAGGTAAAAGATGGTTTAGAAATCTAATTTACATATATATATATTTTTTTCCTGTTCTTGATCAAATCAGTTTTAAGCATGAGCAGCATTCATATTGAATAGTACCTAGGCTGTGGGATCACCTTGGCTGGGCCTCCCACAGCCGGGCGCAGGCGAGCGCAGGTCGGTGTTGCCACCTCGTGGCACCTGACAGAGGTACTGCCACTTGTAAATTGGACTTTCAAGTCAGGGAAGACACAACTCACAACCGGTATTTATGACACCTTTTATTATTTAAGTTGTTCTTATCCACAGAAGCAAGTTTTTACTGCTAACAGCAGATAACTACCCACACAATGCATTCACGTGGTTTTATTATGCATATAGACACTAAGTTACTTGGTTTGTACAATAGTTGGGAGGCCAACCTCACCTGCTTGCAAAGGTGCTCTGACAGGTCTTTGAAGGGCTCCTCTATTTTCTGCAGGTGTACACATAGCCCTGTTGGCTTCATTTGTATTTAGTAGCCATAGCCACCGCTTTTTGGTTGTGTTCCAAGTTATACAACCTGTTGATGCTTGTGGGTGCCAGCAGCCTTGTATGGATTTGGCAGACCCTTGGTGCACTGATTTCATCTGTCCTTGTGAATTCAACAGGTCTACTGGTCTCTAAAGCTTATCAGTTCTTGGGAGATTTTCACATGCTATCTCTCCACATGTATTATTTCTATCCTCAGCCCGCTTTTTGGTAACATTTCTCCATGCACACCCATAGGCAGGTACCTATAAACTCATCCACACAAATTCACACAAAAGGGGCTTTTATAAGAACTTGGCCTATAAAATAATTCCATAGAATACTAAGATTTATTTTAAAAAGTTACCTAATCACAATATATCTGCACTAGAAAAGTTAAGACCACTACAGTTAGTCCTGTTTGGGAAAGGTTGAATAGTCACCGTCCAAAATTTAAAAAATCTTATGGTCTTACCTGGATAGTGTATGAAAATGCCCCTGGGTCTATATCTTATCAACTCTTTACGTATTTCAGCAGTGTCTGAAACATAAAAGTAGGTAACAGTGAGCCTAAGTATATGTGATTTCTGGTTTTGTGTCTGACAATAAAATATAATTCTCATCATACAATATGTCAAGTGCCATTTCTCTGAGTTGGACAGAGCAGGCCTTCTTAATTGCTGTGAAACCTCAGTGTGTAGACTACATATTCATCCCTGGTGATTGTGATTTGCAGACTGTAAAATAAGGACTAATAAACATGGGAAAACAAAGAGCTAATACCTACATCTAAAACTTTAACAGGACAACTAGCCTCCCAACCACATGAAAAAAAAAACATAAAAGATTGGAGAAATTCAGTGGAATGTTGCAAATATATTAGAAAATGTATGAGTACAAAAGATAGTATATAAAGTAAGTACAAAAAAGCACTTCACTACTTTTTTTTATAATTAATTAGATTATTACATGACAATACTGTTGTATGACTAAGTGATTTTTTCAGGCAATGGCCCGTGGATCCACAGGAGTACAAAACATAGTCTGAGAAGCAACTAAGAACATCTATGCAAAGCGTCAAATGCAAATGTTAAGCACAAAAGCAAAAAATATCCAAAGGGGATCTTTCATGAGAGCAGCAGTTTGTTTTGTACAGCATGTAATGTTCCTGTGAATTTCAAGTAAAAAGCAAGCTGTGACAAACACTTGAGAGTGTTTTGCATAAATAGAAGCTACAAGCATTTGAAACTGGAGTAGGAAAGTCAAATATTAAAAATGGTTAGTGAGCTATTTTCCACAAAGGTTAAGAACAAACACGTCACAGACGGGAATTTTCCCACCTTAGAGACTTTTTGCATAGCTAATGGTAAAGTTCATTTTCTAGATAGCCCGGCTTGGAAAAGCTATTTGGAGTACTCTTTCAAAACCAGCCACGTCACTCTTTTCAATCGTGCTATGAGAAATGTACTTCCCAAAGCTTTTAAAAATAAATCATGTGGAAGGGCTACTGCACACACCGTGGGCCTTGCGTTGTTGTAAACTGCAACAGATTCAGCAGGCAATAGGGTGCTAAATAATTTGGAACAGCACTGTTACTGTTTTGCAGCTGTTCCACAACGTGAAAGAGAAGAATTTAAAGCTTAAATCTTCTATGTTGGACCATAATTTAGATACAGATTCTCAAAGTAATCAGGCAGTCATGGCAACAGTTCAGACATACTGTTACTATTCACAAAATGGCACCTTATTGGGAGTCAACGTATGGATGGAAAAGAGGTCTCAGAGGTCTTTCTAAATGGAGAGTATTAGAGCTGCAAAAGCCCATTTACTCAGCTTAGTTGTTGAGTTATGCAAAAAGATCTTGATAAGAGCAACTGAGCTTTTTATTGGAATGAAAAAGGTTTTACTGCTCATTCTGCCTACTGGGCTTGGGTTTCATCTACTTCTCTGTACAAAATGCTCACAATATTGCCTTTCTAAGTAATCAGGTAAAATGTCTGATTTGGAGCTCTCAGTTTTTAAATCTGCCATCTCAAGGATTGTTTTGGAATCCGTTCGCAGGATGAGCATCTGAACGCCTTGCATGGACAGTCAGAAATGTGTACACTGACAGCAACTGAGCGGCTTCATTAGTGCAATTTTCAATATGAAATACACAAACACTATTGAATTTGAAATGGCTTATGAGAAAAAGAAATTTTTACCATGAGCTACTCTTGCTCTGCAAGCTCCACTGGTACCTCTTAGCCCTGCAGATGTTGAGATGATTTTCTCTAACACAGCTTGGGCCATTTAGGAAACTGCTATTTGCAACAGGGTTTGGAACCAAGGAAAATGAACGGCAAGTAGAAACTGTTTTGCCCTATACCATTCTGGTTTACTGTCTGGTTCCTGCAGCGCCTTATCGTTTTGTCAGCTCTCCATGTCAGCACTCATGCTTCCTTCTTCCACAACGGCTCCAGACCCTTTATGTGCCCTACTTGCCTGTGCCACGGCCACAGGGACTCCTGTCTGGGGAGACAGGAGAATTTCAGCGCATCCTGCCCCTCACACACGAGGTACAAGCCGGCTGCCCGCTGGAGATAACAGGGGCGGCGAGTGGGACACGGAAAAGGGCTCAGCAATGGCTGGGCCAGTTCACGCTCCTCCGAGACAGGGTTGTTTCCGAAATACGGTGGATGCCATCCTATCGCCGCCCTCGGGCACGTCCAAAGCTATCGCTTATGTATGCAGCGGCCCTGACAGCTTTCTCTTCCGTGAGCTGGGGTGTCACTTGAGAGGACGGGGCGGGGCAGCGAGGCTTCTGTGGGGTGCAGGCGGCCTCTTGGGCAGCGCCCCGTGGGGAACGGCCAGGAACTGGTCGCGGGAGCCTCCCCAGAGACCCCACGAACTCGCCGCGCCTCAGGCGTGTTCCCGCCACCGGCCCCCGGGGCCGCCGCCCGCAGCACGCGCACGGCCCAGCCCCTCGGCGGGAAACTCGCGCCCCGCGGCCACTCTCGCGGAAGTACCGCGAGACCCCGCGCGGGGCGGGGCCGCGCGCTGTTTGGGGCGGTGGGGCCGCCCCCCTGCCGCCCCCCCCACACCCCCATTCTCCCCCCCCTCACCCCACCTCCCCTTCCCCCCCCCCCCCCCCCTCACCCGCCCCGGTGGCTCCGGCACCCGCCGCGCACAAAATGGACACCGGCACCGACCCCAGCGGCGCCGCCCGCCCGGACGGCGAGGTGCCTTCCACCTCCGCCGCCGCGGCCTCTGCGCAGGAGCCCGGCGCCGAGGAGGTACCGCTCCGGGGGCGGGCAAGGGGAGGGGGGGGCGCCCTGCGGGCGGCGGAGCCTCCGGGAACGAGCGCGCACGGCCCCGCCGCCGCCTCCTCCTCCTTCTCCTCCTCTTCCTCTTTTTCCTCTCCCAGCCGTGCCGCTCCAGCCCCTCCGCCGCATCCCCCGAGGGCCCTCCCGGGCTCGGCCTGCGCTGCGGCCGTACAGGCCGCCCCCCCCCACCCGGCCACACCCCTGGCCCCGCCGTGTAGGCCCCCCCCCCCCCCCCCGCCCCGCTCTGTCCCTTAGCAGCGCCGTGGGGGGGGGTCGGTCCCGGCGTCCCTGCGGTGCGGGTACCCCCGGGGTACCCCCTTCCTAGCCCCTGCTCCCGAGCCAAGGCAGCCGGCTCTGCCCGGCTCGTCCCGCCGCAGGGCCCTTTCCGCCAGAGCCCCGCGCCCTCTCGCTCCCGTCCCCTGTCCCCAGGTAAAGCCGTCCCGCCGTGGGACGGGGACAGTGGGCGTGGGGCTCGGCGCGAGCCGGGGCGGGGGGCTGCGTGGGGTCGAGAGCCGTGGGTGGGGGTGTCGGGTTGGCGGCTGAGTCGGTCTGTCCCAGCCCTCACGCCTCGGGGCTTCCCTCTGCCCAGCCGGAACGAGACCGGCATGCAGAATAAACCCTCAACAGAGCACGGGTGGCTGCCAGCCTCCTCTCTTCAGTCTTTTTTTTTTTTTTTTTTTTTTTGAAAAAAAGACCACAGGCTAAGACACAAGGAATGTAAAAAGTGACGTGTTCGGGTATCCTTGGAAACTGAACAAGATTTAACCTGAAGAATGAATCTTATAAAAACTTAGTAAGAAGGATGGCAGTGTGTCATGTATTTATGATATTAGAGAAAATTGCGGAAATACTGATATTGGTGAAATATTGGTATTGGTACAATCAGAATTTTAATTCCAATTGATGAAAGTCCATTTCTACATGAAAAGAATGCTTGATTCTTTAGTTACTTAAGTATACGAACAGCTATGCAATACAATAATTATGAACATTACCTGATTGTTCAAGGGAATAAGTTTAAGGGCTATTTCTGTGTTGGATACAACTTACTCTACAAAATGTTATGCATGTCAACTGATAAAAAGTTAGTAGTAGATGTTTAGAGAATGCCTGGAAAAAACATTTGAAAGGAGTGAATAGTTTCAAGTATTATCAACAGTGTGCTAATGTGCCATGCTGGTCAAGATGTTTCTTAAAGGGGAAAAAAAAAAAAAAAAAAGACTTTTCTGGTTTTGTTCAGACTGTGGAATTTCACTTCACATTGGGCCACAGGTCTGTTACATAGCTCTACAGTTAGTGATACAATCTGCATAATAATGGTATATAATACAACCTGTTGTTCTCTGATCCCCTCAAACTGTTTTACTTTGCTATAAACAGTCTTTCTTGTAGTAGTACCAAAACACTGTCTTAATGGCTATTTGGGATGCATTTCCATTCTGTATATGTGAATTAAACACAAAAGGGTTCCTAATCTTAATGCATCTGTTTGAAGTTCTCAGTAGCACAGGTTATAAGACTAAAGTCAACTAAAGCAGGAGCGGTTCTTATTCCCAGTCATTTATTTAGGTGTTCACATGACCCGCTCAATTTAGGACTAACTGTTGCTCTTACTAGCTAGACAACTCAGCCTAAAGTTAGTAGCTCTGTTTAGGCTTGTTAGTAGAGATGTTAATGGGAAGTATTTTGGATCCTTGGAATACTCTGGGTCTGTTATTTTTTAAACTAATGCATGGTCAAGTTTCTTCTAAGGTGTGTAAATGACACCAGTTTTCAGGGGACCGTATTATCTAGGGTTTAATCTTTAATGGAAAACTTTTCGAGGGTGGAGGCAGATTGTTACCAGCTAGCTCCCTGAGTTAAAAATGAAAGTACATTTTTTGCTGGTTAATTGTTTGCACCAAGGCTTCTGCTGATCCTTCTGCTTTCCCGTTAAGTCAGCCCTCTAAATGATGAAGATGCATTATGTAAAGTTTCTAGGGTAAAAATCTCACAGACTTGATGGAATATTTTGTGTTTCTGTGTCGTATTAGGTACATGATCCAGTTGGTAGTAAGAGAGAAGTAATCTTATATAAGAATGTAATAATTGTCAGAGTCTAGATTTTTATAACTCAGAACATTATGCGGAAGCAAGTTTGTATATGATGCTCATCCCTACTACGCATCTAGCTTCATTGACACAGAATAGAATTCTAGTGAAACTGGAGCATATTCATTTCCCTTGTAAGTTGTGATGAAAAGAAAGGGTATTGGGATGCATGTGTCTCAAGTTGTGTGTCTCATCAGTTTTTGTCAGTCTTCTGTTTATTATTTCTAATACTTTGGGGCCATCAATGTTCAACAGAAACACTGCAGTGAAGAGTGGGGGGGCAGGGAAACTGTTTTGGCTTGAAAGGTAAGGATGTGATTTTTATAGTGCTGTGGCTGCAGTAACTTCACATGTTAGTTCATTAACTCAGAGTGTGTTATTCAGAAATACTTATTTCCCTAGAAGAAGAAAACTTAGTGCCACTAAGTCTTCTTCTTCTAGGGAAATCTGAGTAACAGCAGAACTGGCGTTAGAGCCATCTGTGTTGGGGTTTAGAAAGATAATATTGTATTACATTTTGCTTGGAAAGCTTGCAATTGTGAAATATCGATTTGTTGTGTTTTGTCCAGGAGGAACTTCATACTTACCTGAAGTAGACAGACAGCTTTTTTTTCCAGCAGCACATATCTATGTAATTCATTTCTAGGGAAAGTGAGGGTGACATCTGAAATGGCTTACTGTCAATTTTATTTTCCTTTAAGGAGGAATATTTTGTCACTTTAATAATGATTGAGCCTGATATCAGCACTGTCAGTCTCTCTTACCAGACTGTATGTTGTATAGTAATATAATGGAGGTGTGAATATACACATATATATGACCTGCTCTTTGACGTGTGTAACAGTCCTCACCTAACGTTGCTGTCTGAGATGAACTGATTACCTCTGTAATTAAAGAAGCTCTAAGTGAATAGAACATTTCTAATGCTACCTATTTGCAACATAATCATTTGGCCTTGCAAAGCCAAACTCATGCATTTATAAAATCATTAAATTGTCAGACAACTTCATTATACACTTACTACTGTCCACCTTTGCAGAGAATTATGTCTTTGGGCCAAAACTTGAAAAGTTAATCTCTGAGTTCAGAAAATATTCCTCCCTTTTGCAT